GATAAGAACACGCAGTCTCATGAATAATTTAATAGACACCGACGCGTCATCGATGTACTATAGTCCTTTGCCGCGTCACAAATTGTGACGTCAACACGATGTAGATTTTAAACCCGGAAGATGAAAATAGCGCAAAAACGCTTAAAATTAACCAGTTTCTCAAACAGTTAAAATGATCGGATGCTAACATTGTCTTCTATAATGTGCAACACAAACACCTCTGCTAAAATCTCAGAAAAAGTAGTCTGGGGTTTCATGACCCTTTAAATTAACTATTTTCTATTTTAATATTTACTTTTTTTTTTAGCACCACTACTCCAAGTCTTTAGTGTCACATGACTTTTGAACGGTAGTTTATATATAGTGAGAGAGTGTTCACACAAATTTCTGAATTGTATATTTATCCACATATTTTATATCCATGTATACAAATGATACAAAGGCCTATTACTGGAAGTGAATGTGTAAAATATTAGGGAAATTGCTATTAAATATTTATTAAATGAACAGACTGGTTTCAAACACAAAAAAAGAGGCTGCTTTGTGCAACACAATGTGTGGCTGAAAGAAAGCCAGCAGGTCAACAGAAGGAGTGTTCACTCACTTGCTAATGTACTCTCCCGTCAAGACCAGGCCGCAGGTCTGACACCTGAAGCAGCTGACGTGCCACTGTTTCTCTAACGCCAGCAGAGATTGACCCTGTATGATCTCCTCCTTACAACCTGCACAGTCTAAAAAGAGCCATAAGGAAGAGAAGAGAGGTTATATAATGGACTTAAGGTTCAAAAGTCTTTCCTGTGTCCAGTCGGCCTTGACAGGTTTATAAAAAACACATACAATACAAATCAATAAATCGGTATTAAGGTTAAGTTAGCAGAAATAAACACACACTTTATTGAGCTGTGTAGGCAGGGTAGGCCAGCATATGATATATGGCTGTAACAGGATTTTGAGCACAGAAAGGTCAGTGCATCATTTGTTTTTATTTGGAGGATGTTCAGCTATGTTTAGATTATTTCCACCGTGACACAGAGCTCAGCTTTCTTCAGTTCACCTTCACGATCAGTCAGGTCAATCTTTACACAGAGATAGATGTTAACTCTTATATTCCAACAATTTCTTTCCTCCATTTCCCTGTAGCAGCTGTGATTACAAGTGCTTAAGAGAAACAGAAGATGGCTCATTTTTGTTATGTAGTAACTCAAGTAACTTGGGAAAAAAACTGAATATGATTTTGTTGTTATTGAAACAGGTATTTCTATAAAAGGGTTTGCCAGACTTTCAAAAACCTAATCTGGTCAAGCTCAGGCACTTAAATTTGATTATTAACACAATGCCAAGACTATTAAGAGGATTTCAAACAGGATGGAACTTCACAGGATGGAAATAAAAAGCTAAAGTAAGTTAGCCATTGCTCAGAGAAGGATTGAGCATTTCATATTAAACCCGTTTTTGATGTTAGAAGGAACAGGTGGCATGGCAAAAATGGTAACCAAAGTAATTAAATTATTTAAGATTCACTATTATGTTGACTTAGTTGTGATAAAAAGAAAACTAACTAATAGGGATGCTCATTTTAACCGGTTAACCGTTAACCAACCATAAGAATTTTGACCGATTATTACAATCAGTTAAACGGTTTAAAAAGTAATTTATTTATTTTTCAGTGGGTCTAATTTATCAAAATATTTTAAAAGGTTTGCTGCATGGCTAAAATACGCTACGTGAATAAAAAATTTTTTTAGAGAGAAAAAAAGCATAATCGCGTATAAGTCGCATTTTATTATTTCATTCAGGCCTAATGCCGACACGAAATGTTTACAAACATTATAATAAACACTGTAAACATAGCTAGGCTATTTTAGTTCCCCTCACTCCTAACCTCCCCTCACAACAAATCCTTTCAATTTAACAGTATTTATAAATGAACAAGAATTAAAAATATAACAAGCAATAGCTATATAAACGCTGAGTCTCTCATTCGACAAAAACAAATGTTTCCATATTCGATCTATTTGAATGCCAAAATATTATTATGTAACCAACTTCACTGGCGTTCCAATATCCTCGTGAAACAAAATGTTTTGCATAACATCATGACGATATGGTGATAATGCTTAACGGCACAGATTTTACTACATACTGAGCAGTGTGTTTTTTTCCATATGTGTGACTGACTGTATTTTATTATGATAATGAACAGGCTGCATTATTGTCAAGGTAGCAAAGCTTAACTGTGTGCGCACTTGCGGCACCGGCGCAATCACTTGAATTTTTTCCTTCTAACAGTGGAAGCAACTACTCCTTTAGTCATAAAGATAATAAGAATTGTAAAAGGTTTGCGTTTATTTGTCTACATTCACAATACAAACAAATCTTTGTGCTTTTGTAAAATAGGCCTAAAGAAAAATAGGATGCCGTTTTCTGTCGTCTTGGTTTCCTTTCGCGCAGCATAAAAATGAACCGAAACTCTGCATACAAGGCTACTTGTTGCATAGTTTTTCTTTCATTTTCTTAATTTATTATTTAAGTAAAAATATG